TATTTTAATATGTATGGAAATGTATATTCAATTAATTTTAATTTTTTCAGTTTTAGTTATTAAACAAAATGTAAAATGAGAAATGTTTCCTTGCCAACAAGCTGAATAAATATATATATATATATATACACACACACGTTTTATATAGCCTGTTGCTAATTCAAACCAAGCATACAATTTTTGCCAGACGAACTGTGAACAATCACCTAGTAACACCATAGAAACCACTCAAAACATATTAGAAATGTATTAGCATACGTTCAGCTTTAACATATCGGCGAATTTAGCAGGTATTCTCTAAGTTTGCAATTAATACATTAGCGTTTCATGTTAGAAAGTTCCGGATCTGAGATCACGGATTTCTTCTCTCTTTTTTTTATCGCGCTCTGTCTGTTCTTTATCAGTTCTTTATCTTTAAACTGATACAGCAGGTCTCAGTGAATCTATTGTCAGGCGGCTGATTTGAAGTGGGCTCTTTCTTGACTCGCGATGACCAAAGGGGCTCTTTGTTTTCACAGAAGCCTCTGTCCCTACTTCCTGTTGACACAAGATGAATGTCCATCACATCCTGTCTCTAGCGTTGGTGCCTGGTGTTCGCTGTCTGATTGACAGCTGAATGAATGAAGCCAAAGCTATCTTCTCTAACAGAGACATGACTGTTTCCCGTCTGCGGACGTGACGACATTCAACTCGGTATGACAGTTTATCCTAATTTGTTCGAACACTATATTCGGACACTTTTTAAAATATTTCATATAACATACCTCACATGTGCAGTTGTAAACTATCAGTACTAATGTACTGTAATGAATCTGAACCGTCCTGAAACTACCAGTAGAGGGCAGTCGTGTTCTTTGCTGCAATTGACATCTATCACCACGAGAGGGCGACATTAATGCACTTTTTTTTTTTTTTTTTGCCTGCTGTCATTATTGTAGTAGCACAAAGGACTCAAATAACTGTTTACTAATAAACCAAAGTGCTACATAATAATAATAATAATAAAATCTTGATAGAGAAATGTGGTTAATAAATAAATATAGTAGTTGATAAGTAAAATGTAGTTAATAAGTAAATAATAAAACTGCCTTGGTCCTTGGTGTACAACTCAGTGTTATTTTAGTATCACTGATATACATATAGTTTTTGTCAATATTTAGCATTAGATTTTATTTAAATATATCTTCATACTTTTACACGTTGTATTATGTTTTAGTTTTTAGTTTATTTAGGTTTAGTTAGGTTAGTAATTCACCTTGAAAATGAGAAATGTTGCCTTGGCAACTGAAATAAAACAATTTTTTAGGAAATAAAATTGTTTTTTATACATATTTTTATTTATTAATTAATGTTTTTATATTTTTGTTTTCATTTTAATTTCATTTTAATTTCTGTTTTTTTCTTTGTGTGTTTTTGTCATTTTTATTGGTATTAGTGTTTGTTTATTTATTTTATATATGTAGTTTTTAAGTTTTAGATTTTAGTTTTAGTTTTCTTAGTTTAGTACTTCAACATGAAAACAAGTCATGTTGCCTAGCTAAAATAAAATACATTTAGCAATTAGCTGAAATGAAAAGTTTTTTTTAATTATATTTTATTAGTTTTTTTTCCCCCTCAAAATCTTTTTTATGGTTTAGTTTGTTACCGATAATAATCCTGGTACAACATTCAATTTAATAGATCAGCACAATTCATGTAGTTGTTATACATTGTGTTCGAATTATTTTTTAATTGAAAAGTGAAAACGAATCAATAATTAATAACTAAATAACTAAATCATGCTATTCAAAACTTCAACCCTGTTTTTCTTGCAACCTCTGCCTTGTTGATTGCATAAGATTGAATGTAAAGCATTATTTCCTTTTGATAACTTCATGATTTGCTGTATACATAAGCAAACTTAATTGGCCTTTTCTTGTTTGCAAAGTTATTTCCAGAGCTGCGTATGTGGTTCAGACAGTGATGGAGATGTTAGTGAGGTCTGGTCTCTGAGGAACTGGCCTCTTTCGACATGATTCACAGGCTAAAATTTACCCTCGCTCCTCCAGCACTCAGCATTCGCTCATGATTTCACAGACACGGGGGTCATTTGATCAAATAGATCATAACAGCAGCACAGATCATTTAGTCTGATGAGAAATGTTCATAAGATCTGATTGATTTCAGACTGGCATCTTGGCAGATCTGAGCACGAAGCGAGACGCTGCTGAGATCTTACGAATGATTAAACTCTCTCTCAGGACAAAGTCTCTGAAAATTGAAGTGCAAATGTGCAAAGATGCAAATCGACTGTCAGCATGTTAAAAAGCTAAAAACAAAGAAAAATTGTCTCACCAGAAGACTACACTTGTCTTCATTCAGCTGCTAACATAATCAGAACTGACAGACGTGATAAACAGAGACTTTGACTTCATCTACACGAGCAAAGCAAAAAATTAAATGAAAAACTACAATTAAAAATTAGAAATGTTGCCTTGGCAACTATCTAAAATAAATATGTTAAAAACTGCACTCTGTAACTTTGTTTTTTTGGTTAAAAATGATTCGAAATCAATATTTGAGCAAGTACATAACCAGCCGGTTTCTTGCACAAACCGATCGTTTCGTGTCTTAGGACATCAATGTATCGTCACGAGCCGCAGTGTTTAATTTGGATTTGTCTGTGCATGTTTTTTTTTACTCTCATAGATTTTGTTACCATTGCCATGCATTATAAGACTGATAGACTGCAACGGCTGGACTTAAAAATCATAATTTGTGTTCTACTGAAGAAACAAAGTCACCTACATCTTGGATGCCCTGGGGGTAAGCAGATAAACATCAAATTTTCATTTTTGGGTGAACTATCCCTTTAATCACCATTGGTAGCACGATTTATTGTAATGCTTTTTTTTCTCAGTTGGTCAAAACAAACGTGGCAGACTTGTTACTTACTTGTTCAGATGACAATATACGGTGAAAATGCTTATTTGGGTCATATATTCCAAGACGTAGGCTAGAATCTGTGAGTGCAAAGTACAATATCCACCGGTGCGGTGTGAACTCCTCAAAACATTAGATTCATCAGCGCTGTAGCCCTGCCACTGCACAACCCACACAAGGAAGATAATTCTGCACACAGCTGCAATTGCACGTTTTCAAACAGAGATGGCGACAAAGAGGCAAAACTTACGGACTGCAGCTTTAAGTATAAATTTACTAAAAATAAAAATATATTAAAGCTAAATAGAAAAAGTAAATGAAAACTAAACGGTTATTGTTAAAACTAATACAATTAAACCAGATGCTCATTCATGGTCATTAGCTGGTCCAAGCTGGTTTAGATGGTCAGTCTGGTGGACTAGAAACAGGTTTGATTTCAACCTTGTAGACCACTTTAAGCCATCAACAAACTAGCTGCTCATTTATGGTCATTAGCTGGTCCACACTGGTTTAGATGTCTGATTTTAGACCAGCAACAAACCACATGACAGGTTCCATAAAGCAGTTTGGGCATCTCAAACTGGGATGGATCAGAATTTATACTCAGCAACATACGAAGTCTTTGAAAAATCTGAAGTTTTGCAGAATATACATGAAACTCCAGTCCTCCCCAATAACTTTCCCATGCATATGTTTTGAAATTTCAGGCATTGTGCGCTTAAGGTCAGGCTGTGTGCTTGTTGTGGTTATTAAAGTATGCAAAGTGAAAACATCAGCTAAAACTGAATAAAACAGCAACTATAAATGTCCTTATACATATTCAGACTCAGTGGATAAAGAAGTGTAACTTGCCAGAATGGTCTCACAGTTTGATTTTTATTGTTAAAATGACCATTAAGAGTTCAGTAATATTATAGTACGGTATAATCAGGTCTGTTCAATAACTGTCCAGTGAATACAGCAATGAAATAGAAAGCTAGTATAGATATGATTATACAAAAGTGCTCTTGAGTTATACTGTATTGTATTTACAGGTTTTCAAAAACACTACAAAAGAATGAAAAGAAAGAAAAAGATTGTTGGTTTATTCTCACTTATTCAAGTTAAAGTCAACATGAAACTCATTTGATGTCTGTATTGTGACACATTTTTGAGTCAAACGGTACAAAAATGATTTCATCCATCAGGAACTGATTTCATTTTGATTTCATGTTAACTTTAAGTTGTTTCTGTTGACTGTGGATATATATGAAATACTGAACGCTACGTTGTGTTGAAGTAATTCTACCTGCAGATGTATGTAGGAGAGAGTGGGGTAAGATGTGTCACCCCTAATCTAGCTAACTGCATCATTTTTGTAGAATTGTGATAAGCTGTAAAAATATTTTGAATATTAACCCTGTTTTGGGGCTGGTTTGTGAAAATCATGTCAAAATAGCCTTTGACATTTCACAGGTTACCCCTAAGATGGGGCAAGTTGTGTCACTGAACCACTATTATTAGACACTTGTTCCTTATTTCAGTCAACATCCTGAAATAGAATTAATTATAAGTATTAATGTGCGGTCATTAGCAATATTTTGCAGCAAAAAAGGTCCATTGTCTATTGTCAGTACAGTCATAAAAAATATTTAAGCCTAAATGTAAAATTTCTGAATTTGAGTTGCATATAAAATTTCCATTCATTTGAAATACACAGTTGTAACATAAACTAATAAACGTCTTGTGATGCATATTTGTCAGTTATACATAAATGAAACGGGTCAAATGTCTCCACTCAAAGAAATCATGGCATGGTTTATGATTAACTATTGCACCTATTTGATTTCATTTAAATTTCCGTGTTTTCAAAATGCCTTTATTCAAATAGCTTAGAATCAGTTTGAATTTGTTCATTAAGAAATCAAGTGAATTTATTCACTTAAAAAGTATGTGCATGAATAAAAAATAGCTAGCTGTAAAAACAAGCAATTTAAAATGTATGAGATTGAAACAAATTGACTTTATTGACGATAAATGTATAAACCTGGTTATTGTGTATTTAAATATGAATCATTTGAAGTTTTTCAGGTTTTTTATGTTAAAACTGTGTGATCCAAATGGTTGGATATTTAAGTTAGAATACATAAATCAATGCAAATTTAGTTTAGTAGTGTGGCCAATGTGAAACTGCAGTTAAATCATTGTGGGAACATTTTTGTCCCTCATGCAAAATTCCCAATCGTGGATTTTACCCACAAAAAAAATTGCTAAACAACTGTAGATCTGATGACAAACTGCAGTGCGCGCTTATAATAAAGAGAACGATATCATGCATTGTGTGGAAGCTAACATAGTTAACATCATTGTTTTCGTTATAGTTATCTTTCTTGCTGTGAACAAGCCTTTAGTCTTGTCTGTGTCATTCCATGTGAAGTCAATCTTGATATGCGGCACAGTTTACCCCACTCTCCTTCTCATTCATCGATTTTGCACGATTTAATTTTAATAAATTACAAATGACAACATTTAGTAGTTAATATACATAAATTTATAAGAATAGCAACAACAGTTCTCAGCTCCTCCTTATACTCATAAATCATATACTTGAACTATTCTAGCATGTGACCTTTGACCTGAGTGAATTCAATTGACCTATTTCTGATAATACTCTAAAATAAAGTAGTCAGTTGTACAGTGACAATAACATTTGAAAAGCATCGTAAGTTGTGGCAATTTCCAGAGCAAAAAAACAAATCCATTCAAAGTCATCGCAATCATTGACTATCGTCGACTGTAATCAAAAGATCTTTCATTTTTGAATCAGGCCAAAAGGCATCCTTGAAAGATCACCATTAGAAATGTTATTTTTACACAGTTTGTCATAAAGTGCGCCGCAGTTTCACTATTCCTCCGGACAGCCCAGAAGCTCCGCCCTCATAGTGATGCGTCCGTACCACGACCACGGAAGAATCCGGATGAATCGGGCGTAGATCGGCGGATCTAACACATTCTTTCTGTGTGTTTCGTTGTCAAAGTTTCCTTGGAAGATCTGTCAATGACAGAAGGACAATGCGTAATTTAAAAAATGCTGAATCAGGCCTTCTGATGTCATTTAAAAGTGCACAATAATGTGGCGGTAAAATACGACCTTTAATATATAAAGCAGACGTTTGGCTTTCATACACCCTTAACCTGAGCTCTTTTAATAGCACTTGTTAAAGGACGTCGTTCACAGATTAGTCCTCTGAGAGAATCTATTCCAGTAGACTGTTTCTTATCAGCGCTGTCAGAATAGATTACCCAGCCAACACCACTAACAACCCCCAACCACCACACCATGACCTTACAGTGTGTGTGTGTGTGTGTGTGTGTATGAGGACAAAAACTGTCTCTCTGTGTTGAGGGAGCAGGGAAAGGGCTATGAGAGGAAAAGATCACGTCACATCACGTGACTGAAAAAAGCGAAAGGGAACGTTCACTAACAAATGAAAATTCGGAAAAATCCACCAAAAATTCACCCACGTGAGTAAATCTGTATGACTTAATAGCTTTAGTAATAAACAACAATATTTGCCCACGCTACCATTTAAAATTGAGTTGGCATTGCTTTTATAATGTTTTTAAATGTCTCTTATGCTCACCAAGGCTGCATTTATTTGATTGAAGACATAACTTAATAATAAAGTAAAAAAAAAAGTAATAATGTAAAATATTATTACAATTTTAAAAAACTGTTGTATATCTTAATATAATTTAAAATGTAATTTATTCCTGTGATGCAAAGCTGAATTTTCAGCATCAGTGTTCAGTGTCACATGATCCTTCAGAAATCATTCTAAAATGCTGATTTGCTGCTCAAGAAACATTTATTTTTATCAACGTTGAAAGCAGTTGTGCTGTTTAATATTTTTGTGAAAACCATGATATATATATATATTTAGGATTGTTTATTTGAAATAGAAATCTGTTTTTTTTTTTACATTATAAATGTCTTTACTGTCACTTTTGATCAATGTAATTGATCCTTGCTGAATAAAATAATTAATTTCTTTAAAAAAGAATCTTACTGATCCCAAACTTTTGAACAGTAATGTATTTATATATTAATTATGTATTGTATATTGATGCATATAAATGAAAATGTACCACATAGCAACACTGGCAGCCATGTACAACACTAGCTTCAGTCTAGTTGTATCTGTCTAATGAATGTTGAATTTTAAATAGAAATAACTGTCTCTCTTTTCTCCATAGAAGGACTCCTTGCTGGAGTTTTGTGTCTGAGGAAAGCTTTCGTCTTGTCAGCTGCTGCCGCTCCGGATGGAAAGCATGGAGGGGATTGTTCAGCTGGAGGTGGGAGATTGTTATAAAAATGCTGAGAGGTTGAAATTTTTCTCACGGCTAATGCTGATGTCATGTCCTTCACAGAGTCTGTGTGAGAAGCTCCATCTATTCCTTACAATCAGTAGGGTGATTTTTTTTTTATAAAAGACATTTAAATTAATACATTATGTACTTTAGAATACTTTCTAAATACTAAATACTTTCATAAAAAATGATGGCATCTCCCTCAAATGTTCATGTACACAGCAAGTGTCCTACCTTATCCTTCTGTTGTTTCTCATCCTGATAGATGAGCCATTTCTCTCCATCATTACTGAATGCCACTTTGTAGGAACCGACAAACTGCACATGCCCGAAATCTTTGGCTCCTTGGGTGATAATTCCTGTGATTTTGGTGGTAATCAGCAAATCCACCTGGTGATAATGAGAGAGAGAGTTTTGTGAAGAAAGCAGCAGATAATGCATTCAAGCCCACATATATTACTGTAGAAGTACATTTTACATCTTTAAGAGCCCTCCACAAAAAACATACTTGTCAAATATTACTGTAATACAATGAAATATTTGTTACAGAAAATTGTGTTTTGTCAGCATGCACATCTAATTTTGAATGGCAGTTCATGGAAAAAATTATGGAAACCTGTTTCTGCCACAGAATAAAAAATAAATAAAAAGGTAATTGTGACTTTTTTTCTGGCAATTCTGTGTTTATATCACAATTCTGAATTGCAAGATATAAACGTAGAATTCTGACTTACTTTCTCGGAATTCCAAGTTTATTTCTTGCTAATCTGAGTTTATATTACAATTCTGACTTTTTTCCTCAGAATTCTGAGTTTACATCTTGCAATTTTGTGTTTATATCTCACAATTATCAATTTAAAAAAATAATAATTTGTGACTTTTTATCTCCCAATTCTCCCAATTGACACTTCGCAACGACAAAAAATACATCACAGAGCAAAGAGCAAACTGACAACAGAGCAGGTTACGTTAGATATCAAAAACAAAATGTCATTTCTCTTTGTCATTTATTAAAGAAATTCAAACAATAAGTACCATTTTGTGGCTCTTTAATGTGTCAGAAGCGCCTCAGTTCAAGTGGCACATGAACCGATTAGCTCTTCCTCTTTACTAGTTATATCGTGAAATAAACATGAATGAACATCAGAAGGTATCTTGTTTCATCCGCGGAAAGACGTCAATTCACACCATTTTTCAAGTTCAAGTCCACCGACGTTAATCTATTCTACTGTCTGGTTTGTTTGTCGGACAAAAATGGCAGATTCGGCATTGTGATTGGTCAATTGTCAATCAAACTCCCTGCAACGAGTCAGTTGTGAGTTTATATCTCACAATTCCTTTTTTTCTTCTCGGAATTGCAAATTTCATGAAAAATCATGAAATTCTGATTTCTTTTCTCAGAACTGACTTTTTTTTTTTGCACAATTTTATTTCTTTATTTTTTCTCAGAATTGCAAGATAAAAAGTTG